AGCCATACAATGTTACATATTTGAACTGATAATGGATGTAATGAAAATAGAGAGAGGACATAGAGGAAGAAGAAAGGAAAATAAGAAATAAGACTTCTAATGCTCACTCTTACAGAAGAGGCCACCGCAAATGAGGCTTTCACGAAGAAGAGTGAGCTATCATACAAGCAACAGTTAAGGGGCTGGCAGTAGTAATCCGATGCTGTAAGATTCATTTTAAAAATCAAAAAGATAGGTGTTTTCTCTGTGAAGATCTTACACAAACTTAGTTTATAAAGTGTTTCTCATCATACTCAACACCTGCAGTATGGACATAAGCAATACAACAATCAGAAATCAGGAATTATAAAACTAGGTAAGATTCAAAAACTTTGCAAAAAACATCTTCAAAGGTCAGACACTGTTGAACAAGAACCTGTTTTCAAAGACAGAGACCACGATGATGAAACAGATGAACTGTGAAGAGGTCGTCAACAAGTGCCTACAAACTCCTGCTTTGTTTAAGTGGTTTCTTGCTTAAGATTCCTTATTAAACCCTGTCATAGTAGCACTTAAATGTGAGCATACATGAACATTTTTTAGTATATAACTTTTCTCCATGTTTAGGGAAATGTCAAAATCATGTGCTCCTACTTGATAAATATCAAATGAGTACATACTATATATATGAAGGTCCCTTTAAAACTGTGAAATCAAAGAAAAGGTGTGACAATTTAGTAGCCAAGAAAGCAGGTTAGGATGACATTTTATAGATAATAGCTAGTCACCAAATTTTAATTAAGAGTTTAGAACACTTCTATAACATGAACAAAAGCTATTATAAGAAAGTACAATCCTACAATGACTTAAATCTCACACTTTTACTTTATTGCTAAAGGACGTTAAAAAGTCAATTCATTCAAAGTTGGACTATTGACTTTGAAAAATACAAATATTTCCTTTTTTTCTGGTCGAACTCAGTTAAAAAACATAGTATATTTATTTTTCACTATGTGATTGAAAATGTGATGTTAAATTTTATGTGAGAGAAATAGTTCCCTCATCTGCTCTCACACAGAAGTAGAAAATACTGTGAAAATATAAACTTCTAACCTCTTAACTATCTGCCAAGTCTTTAAATGCTTAGCACTATGATTAGGTCTTTTAGGAGCAACTGTAACTTGAAACTGATTTGCACAATCAAAAAGAAAGTCAATCTTATGTTTTGATAACTTTATTCTATTAGCATTTGGCTTTCTATCAATCTTTATTCTCCTGTGAAGTTGAGCCCTGTGTCTGGATGTAGTCAGCATGGATAATGTTCAAGAAATTCATTATTAACTGTTCCTAAAATGCACTGCTGCTCCATTTTTCTTTCACTGATTTCTAACCCAGGAATCATAGTTCCTCTGCATGTGTGTGCTTGTTCTCCTGAGACATTTTAGGAAACTTCTTTCCATTGATCATAGCCAAGTATGGGTTTATAGTGTGACCAGTTCCTCACACAACTCAAGAAATTCTCCCAGGACCGATTTATACATGTGGGTTGAAGCCATACCCTGCACCTAAGCTCTTGGGTTTGAGAGAATTAGCTTATCTTTACTAATCCTCTAAAAGATGCAGACAAAATAAAGACCTCCAAGCAGACCCCGGTTTCCATCTGTGGATCCTCACCATCAGGACACATGTCCTTAGGGGTGTCTATGGAACTTTATTTCTAACAGATAATATTCTTTGGCACTTGGAAAAATGTTTCAGGGGAAAAAAATGTCTATAGAAGTCAAGACTGTGAATAAAAGTCCTCAGGAAAACAACAAAAAAACAAAACAAAGCAAAAAACCCCTTTCATCTTCAAACTGGCTGCAAGGCTGATCAACTGATTCGAAATTCAATGAATGTGCAGAGTTTGGAATGTCGCAGGTTCAGAGTCTAATTACCATTTATTTAGCCCCCTAAACAGCCACTCCTTGCTACCTCTGTTTCTGTTCTAACATCCTGTGACAAACAAACAAAAAAAACAAAAACAACAACCAAAAAAAACCCTCTTAGAAGGTATTATCCTAGCAGACCACCCGGGCTCACCAATCATAAGGCTAAGAATGTCACCAGATAGCATCTGAGGCCTATAGTAAAAAAGTCCCTCGCTTTACTATGACCCGCCTACTGAATGTATCCTCCAATGTATTTGAAAAGTGTCTTTGATTTATGACTGGTCTATGTTCTGTTACTACAAAAATGTAAGGCAACTGTTACCATGCTGGAACATGGTTATTTGGGGAAACCTAAATCTGTGTTTCCGGACCGTGGTCACTCATATTTGGCTCCAGAATAAACCATCTATTCTTTAAGGTGAGAGCTGTTTATTTTGTCGACAAGACTTTTAAAATCCTTTCAAGTTTAATAAATTTCACAGGCTTCATTTGTTTGGTGCAATGGCAACTTTTCTATATTTGTGAAAATTTCAGTGTATTGACAAACTGAAGGGGAAAGGAACATGTTTTTCTGTGTTTTGCAACGTGCTGTGGTTAACAGCCTACAAATAACCTGTGTCAGAGGCAGCTCCAGGAAATGTTCCATTTGTTCCCCATTTCTTATTTTATAGTTAATGTTCAGTGTTTTTCTCATCACGTCATAGATGACATTAGCTCCCCACCCCATCCTCTGCTAAAGTACAGTCACATGAACTCAGTTCTCCTCTCAGATAGGGTAGGCCTGCCTGTGCTTTGGTTGTTTCTCCACAGTGACTGTGACTTTTCTTCCTTTATTATTTCTGCTATATTTATTACCAAATGTATTTGTTTTTAAGTTCAGATGCCAGTTTGGATTGTGACACCTTTGCTAAACCTTCCTAGAAGTCCTGTGTCAGGTTTCTCTGAGGCCAATAGTTAACATGTTTCGGAATGATGATTTTAGATGTGTAATTCTGTGTATAGCACACTATTAGGATCAACTGGTGGAAAAGAATTAGAATTTAATGAAAACAGTTCATTGTTCCAAGATACTATAGAAGGTACTTTTCAAGAATATTTAAAAGTATTTGGGAGCTCTTATCTAATCCCTAAAATTTGAGGGTGGCCTCCACAGAAGGGGGAATGTTAGAGTAGCAAAAAGCCACATTAAAAAAAGAAAGAAGGAAAGGAAGAAAGAGAGAGAAAGGAAGGAAAGAAGGAGGGAGGGAGGAAGGAAGGATGGAAGGAAGGAAGGAAGGAGAGAAAGAACAGGAATTTGTCAGAAAAAAGTGGTGGGAGATATGGGAGGTGTTGGAGGAGAGGGAGTGGGTTTGGATTTGATTAAAACACCCTTTATATGCATGTATGAAATTCTCAATAAAGGTTTTTCAAGTTTAAAAAAAGAATATTTAGAAGTCTCCATCATTAATGAAACTTTTCTAGTATGTTCAGAAGAGAAAAACAACCATTTAATATACAGTTTTGATATATAAGTGTTATTCCCCTTGAACTACATGGCTTCAAATTTCATAGTTAATTAATTTCTTTGACAAATGTTCTTTACTGCATTAGTGACCATTTTGATAAAAGGTAAGTTTGGAGACTAGTGTATAGAATATTAATCAAGACATTTTATCTACCTTGAGGTCAATTCCTCTTGGACTAGACAGACCTTTCCTCACTTGCCCTATTCTCCCTAGATCTTCCTAACCATCTCTTTCTCCCTTCTGCCATGATCTTGTGTCCTGAGGTGCATCCCAACTTCATTAGTGTTCTTCTTACTGTTTATCCAATTCCCTCTTACAGAAAGGTTGTCAGATGAACATAAAGCGTTCCCTTATCCCATCCACACATCAACAGTATCCCCACAGCAATAGTTTGAAACATTTGTATGAAATTCACTATTTTCTGTCAGAGGGATTGCTTAATACATAGATGATAAAAGATAGATATAGATAGTAGATAGATGATGATGATAGATAGATGATAGATAGATAGATAGATAGATAGATAGATGATAGATAGATGATAGATAGATAGATGATAGATGATGATGATAGATAGATGATAGATAGATAGATGATGATGATAGATAGATAGATAGATAGATAGATGATAGATAGGTAGATAGGTGATAGATAGATTAATTGCAAAGTTATTAGTCTTTCAAAGGAAGAAACTGTATATCACCTTGATTATTACTAACATTTATAATATAGCAGGAGCTCTGTAAATGTGAGATTCCACTGAATATATTTTTTCTAAATATGAATGTTGTCTAGACTTTATCTTTAATTCGTCATAAATTCATGTTATCAAACAGTTTAGTGAATCTCACAATGAGGAGTAAGAAAGTATTTAAATCAAGTGAACATGCAGAAGAAATTCAAACTTACTGTGATAACTTTCTGACACTATTTTTATTTGTAATGTCTCGGACCCAATTTAAAACAAAAGTTACAGCTGATAGTATACTTTAATAATAATTAATATAATTTATACTGTAATTCTCCCTCAGTCATTGAGCACAATTCTCCATATCTAGCTCAATTTGGAAACTTACCTGCATTCTCGTACTAGATATACTTCATGCATGTGCTTCCTATTTTATCAGAATGTAGTTGTCCTTTATTCTCTCTCTCTTTGAGTCAGGGTCACCCTGTAATCACAGATGGCCTAGAACTCACTGTGGTAGACTAGGCTGGCATTGATTTCAAAGTGATATGCCTGACTTTGCCTCCCCAGTCCTGGAATTAAAGGTGTGTACCATCAAGCCATGAGAGGTTGTCCTTTTCCATTTTCAAACTTTGAACTACTTTCAAACAGAGAAGGGAAGTTTGTTTATGTTAGTAATCTAAACGTGCTATTTAAAATGAAGGTCATGAAGAGAATCTGCATTATTTTCCAGGAAGTATATCTGAGAGAATGGAATTTAGCACCACAAACAGGAAAGAACAGAATTAACCAGCAGCCAGAGCAGTGGTGCTGTGTGAGTTAGCACCAAAGGAGAATGCTGTGAAAACACAGTTATTTCCTACTTTTATTTTTCCAGGACATTCCTCTTTCAGAGTTATGGAAATTTCAAAACACAGTAATGCCAGCAACTTTCTCTTCATCCTGATGGACCTGCCTGGTCTGGAGACTGCGCATTGCTGGACAGCCATTACCATCTGCCTTATTTACATTCTTTCTGTGCTGGGCAACATCACCATAATGTACATAGTGAAGTCTGTGCCCAGCCTCCACACACCCATGTACCTGTTCCTTTCCATGCTGGCAATGGCTAATCTGGGCCTCTCAGCATCTACTTTGCTTTCAATGGTAGCTGTCTTTCTCCTGGGCCAGAGGATGATAGGAGCTGCAACCTGCTTTGCTCAACTCTTCTTCATCCACACGTTCTCAGTCATTGAGTGGGCTGCTCTCTTGGCCATGGCTTTTGATCGCTGCGTGGCCATCCGAGAGCCTTTACGCTATGCCACCATTCTCACGACCAAACACATAGGGGCCATTGGACTGGCGGTCATAAGCCGCAGCACTGTCCTTCATCTGCCCTTGCCGGTGCTCCTGGAAAGGCTGGCATTCCAGCCAGTCAGTGCGCTGTCGCATTCTTATTGCGTCCATCCTGATGTTCTGCGACTGTCCAGTTCCAGCACTCTTGTCAACAGTGGCTGGGCATGGATGCCGTGCTCATTCTTCTCTCCTATGTGCTGATCTTGAAGACGGTCTTGAGCATTGCTTCCAATGCTGAACAGTTGAAAGCCTTCAACACCTGCATTTCCCACATCTGTGCTGTCCATCTCTTTTATACCCCCCTAGTTAGCCTGTCTATGATCCATCGCTTTGGGAAAAAGCTACCAGCTCAGGTGTACATGCTTCTGTCCTATCTGCATTTTCTTATGCCTCCAATGCTCAACCCTATTGTCTACAGTGTCAAAACGAAAGAGATCAGGGTCTGCATTCTAAAGATGCTCCATCCCAAGAAGCACTGAGTCACAGACATGAAGTGTTGTTGGATGATTTCTCAAAGACTGACTGACTGAGGACATCTCAACTGCATAGCAGAGTTTTGCTTCCAATTGATCCATCTGTCAATTGATAATTTAGAAATATCGACTAGAGTGCAGCATGGTGTCTCACAGCATTAGAATCATAGCTGTTGCATGAAAAAAATCATTATGTCTTATTCTATAAAAATTGATTTCATCTTTAAAGAAAAAAATGTAGGAAGGACTGGCAGATTCTCAAAGGTATGTATACACTGGTATCTAAAAGTAGGTATAGTGCAAGACTGAGTTTAGAAAAATCTAAGATCAACTTCAGAAAAATATCTAGAATTCTACAAAAACAAGCTCAACAGGGTATTACTTCATTGTACTGAAACATTGGTATATACATTCAATCAAAATTTATCTTTCTTGTTTGTGTAATAATCGTAGATAGAGATTACTTCTGAAAAATGTAACTGAATAAAATATTCTAAAATATAATATATATACTAAAAGAAATAAAGATCTTAAGTACTGAGCTGCAGTGTCTCAAACTATAAATATTCAAAATGACAATTCTTCACACTTCATCACTTGAAAAGTGGGCAGAAATAGTTGAACTGCTTCCACAAGCACTGTAGTTTCTGTGAAACTATTACAAAGTTGCACAACTGGTCACACACAGAGAATAAGTGTTTGTGATTTGCCCAGCCCTAAGTGACATATCTACAGTGGACTCTACACCTAAGTCTCATAGAACGTAGGGGAGCAGGGGGTGGAATGAATGCTAATGCATCTCTCAACTCTCATCAGCAATGCTTTCTCATATAAGAGAGAGTGATGAACATTGAAGGCCACAAGTGACCAAAATGCAGAGAATTAGAGGCTGCAGAGTACATGTCCCTATAAAGTACTCCTATATTAAAGCTTACCCACCCAGAGCTCAGGCACCATTGCGGAAGAGGGGGCAGAAAGACTATAAGAGCCAGGAGTGGTACATGACCACAAGAAAGGAGTCTTCTAAGTGGCTAGAAACTTAGTCATATGAATTTACAGCAATGGTGATGGCAGGTAAAAGAATCATGTAAATCCAACCGGACAAAACCTTCCATAGAACTGGGAAGAGAAGTGGGAATCCCCAACCTTAGATGAGGAACTATTAGCAGTTGATCACTGCTGGGGTGTTGGGAGCTTCTATTATTACGGGCACAGCCATTGCTGCCTTAGGCTGTGGCAGCTTGCCTTGACTTAAGCATTGGAGAAAGAATGCTTCCATCCTGGGAGTTTCCCTGCTCTCTGCTTCTGTGGTCTGAGTTGACAGGCTATGCTTCCCTGATTAATTGGCAGTCTTGGAAACATAACTAAAGAGTTCTGTTTCAGTTTATGGGCACTGGAGTTTCTCAGCACCATTAGCTTGGTTTCTATATAGAAATAATGAATTATAGTAGTTGCTAAGAGTAATCACAAACAGTACATCTTATATCTAAGATATTGTAAATATTATGTAGCTGAATCTTGGATACTGTAAACGTTGTGTGAGTTTCGGTTGGTGAAGTAATGTAATCTTGGTGGTAACATAATGTATCCTTGGTTATTCCTTGGTTACCTTCTGTTTAGTGACATATCCTTAGTTATTCCTTGGTTACTCCAGATCTAATTCCTATATAAGCTTGCTTTAGTTAACAATAAACATGCACTGGCACATAGACCTCTGCATTCCCTGCATCCTGATTTCTATCCATCAGGGTCTCCAAGCCCTTCAGGCTTGGACTGTGGTCACTGCACCATGACACTGGGGGAGGGAGAGTTGGTCCTTAAGGGTGTGGTGCAAGATAGGCTTAACAGGCTACAATGGATGAACTCACAATATAATTTTTAGGAAAGCTCATCCTACAAGTCTGCTTACAACACCCAATGTTCCCCCTTCTCTGACAACCCTTCCTGATACATCGGATCCAGCCTCAATGCACTGGGGATGCATTGGTTACCCACATGCCATAGTGTCTATTTGTCGGACAAGCCTTCTTCATGATCTCATACCTCAGGAATGTCTAATTCACTAATGTTTTATATTAACTTTAACAACTTCATTGCACTATCATTGATGTAAGATAAATTAGTATTTGTGGTGTTCAATCTGATAAACTTTTTAAATGTGTACAATTTTGGAGCCATATAACAACCAAGATAAATAATGTATCTGCCAACAACATATGTTTCCTGCTGCTCATTTACAATTCTCTGACCCCTTTCCCAACTAGACATCTTTGTTTTTTTTAATTTTTTAAAATTTATTATCTTTATTTTATGTGTATGTGTGTATTACCTGCATGTAGGTAAGTACACCTGTGTCATGCAATGCCCACAGAGGTCAGAAGAGGCTGTCGGATCCCCTAGGACAGGAGTTATGGACAGTTGTTAGCTGCAATGTGGGTGCTGGGATTCTAACCCGGGTCTTCTGAAAGAACAACCAGTGTTCTTAACCGATGAGCCATCGCTCCAAACTCCCAACTAGACATCTTAAACAGACTAGTTTATATCTTTCTAGAGTTAGAAATAAATGTATTGATTAAATAGATTTTTTAAAATGGTTTCTTCCCATGAGCAGGAATATATTGATATTGATCCCTGTGTTTATTTGTGAATAAATCAAATATTGTCTTTCAACTTAGAGATATCTCAATATTTGCATATAAATTATTGAATGATAATATTTTAACATCAAATTTACTAGCATAGGTACATACTTCTAATGGATATTATTTTGATTCACCTTGTTTACTTATGAAGACAAATTTTATTAGAATTACAACTTTTTTCTTCCCATGAGTTCAAAAATATTACTCATTATTTATGATTTCTTTCTCTGTAGCATAAAAGCTGAGCCCTAATTTTATGATGTATTTTCTCATCAATTCATCCCTCATTGTTTCAAAATTGCTATTCTATATTAATATCAGAAATAAGTTTACCACCTCATGTACAAAGTACATTTTTTAATGTTTAATTTCCAATACCCAAAACCATGTTCTGAGGTTACCGAGATCAGTTTCAGATGTTGAGGTGGTGCAGGGTTTTAAATTCAATTAATCTTAAGTCTTAAAGTATACAGCACTGACATAAAAAGGTACTTCTAATTAATGTGCACCATATCACAAAAGATATCTGTACCATAACAATGTTTCAAATTCTAATTGTCTGAGTGTTGTAGGGGCTGAGAGCCTCTATTATATTTGTTCTGTATTTTTTTCTCCCAGTGATGGTCTCCTTGAGCATTATTTGTTTTTTGCTGTGAATTTCCAGGTTAGTATTTTGTGAAGACCTCAGGTGGACCCCAAGGACAATTTTAAAGATTCCCTCTATTACAACTTCCTACCCAGTAGTTGTCTGTTCTAAATTTTGAAATTGGGACTCTATTTTTTTTCCAGTCAAGTGCTACTTAAAAAAATATTCTTTGAAAACGTCATATATATAAACATATCTTCCCCCTACCAGTTCCCCCATGAGGTCCCCCAACATATCTACTTCCAACTTCATATTCTCTTCTTTTCATTTTTATTTTTTTAGCCCACCAAATCAAGTTAGTGTTGCCCACATGTGTAGGGGTGTGGGTATCATCTGCTGGGACATGGACAACCTTTGGTTACTCCCCCCCAAAAGTGACCCTCCCTTCACCAACAGCCATCAACTGCCAATAGCTCCTCTGTACAGGTAGAGCCTTGGCAGCCTATACCGCCCCCCTCCCATTCTGGAACTTTTTACTGGCTTGGTCTTGTGGAGATCTTATACAATGGCTGTTGTCTTCATGTGTATAACAGCCATGTAGAATTTCACAACATTCCTTCCCATCATACAGCTTTATGTCTTTTCTGCCTACTCTTCTGTGATGTTTCCTACCCCTGGGTTTGGGGGTTGATACAGATGTGTCATATATTGCTGAACACTCTAGGTTTCTTAGTCACAGCACATTGAAGAGTTGTGAATCTTCGTGTGGGCCACCACCTATTGCAATAATGGGCTTCTCTGACCACGGTTGAGAGCAGCAGAAATCTATGACTATAAACATAAATATTTAGAAAGCATTAGACAGTGTGACTATAAAAACAAAAACAGTGGATTCCTCTCTTGGGCCTAGGAACTCTATAACCATGTTTTTTTGATGTTATTACAGTATCAGGCACAAATTATCTGAGGTGGAGCATATATATATATATATATG